TACACTGATTCAGAAACATTTAGGTAAAAAACCTTTCTCCATCCGGTCCCAGATGTCGGGAGGGGCAACAGTAGCCATGGCAACAGTAGCCATGGAAACAGTAGCCATGGCAACAGTAGCCATGGCAACAGTAGCCATGGCAACAGTAGCCATGGCACCAGAGCTTACCTTCTCCATGCGGTCCCAGATGTCAGGAGGGGCAACAGTAGCCATGGCAACAGTGCTTACCTTCTCCATGCGGTCCCAGATGTCGGGAGGGGCAACAGTAGCCATGGCAACAGTGCTTACCTTCTCCATGCGGTCCCAGATGTCGGGAGGGGCAACAGTAGCCATGGCAACAGTGCTTACCTTCTCCATGCGGTCCCAGATATCAGGAGGAGCCACAGTAGTCGGTGCTTCTTCGATGATTTTCTGGTGTCTTCGCTGGATAGAACAGTCACGCCCAAATATGGAGATGGCGTTCCCGTACTGATCAGCCAATAGCTGCACCTCCAGGTGACGGGCACTGTGGGTAAAAACAGCATTATGGGTATATTCCTAAAGCTAACCATGAAGGTATGAATAAAATTTTTAAGATATTCTTTGTTGCCAGAGTGAGTGAGTGAGTAATTATATTATTGGGAGAGAGAAAGAGAGAAGAAATAGAGTGAGAGAGAGAGAGAGAGTGAGAAAGAGAGAAATACCGACCTTTTCGCCAGTTTCATGATGAATATAGGCAACCCCGGCACCTCGTTCTGAGAGAGTGACTGAGTGAGTGAGCGGGTATGTGAGTGAGTGATTGTGTGAGAGAGTGACTGAGTGAGTTGAGTGATTGTGTGAGAGAGTGAGTGAGTGAGTGAGTGAGTGAGTGAGTGAGTGAGTGAGTGAGTGAGTAAATGAGGGATGAGTGTGTAAGAGTGAGAGAGAGTGAGAAAGAGAGAAATACCTTTTCGCCAGTTTCATGATGAATATCGGTGACCCCGGCACCTTGTTCTGAATGAGTGAGCGGGTATGTGAGAGAGAGTGAGAGAGAGAGTGAGAAAGAGAGAAACTCCAACCTTTTCGCGAGCTTCATGATGAATATGGGCGACCCCGGCACCTCGTTCTGCACCTGTCGGAACGCGGCCGGGAAATCGTCCTCCGTCTCGACCTTGCGAATGCCCTTGCCGCCGCCGCCCTCCGAAGCCTTGATCATCACCGGGTACCCGATCGCTGTGGCACTCTGGGAAGGGGCAAAGGTCAAGCTTACTTCATCTCAAATGTGTATCAAATTCTAGGTCATTTTGATATCGATTGTGTACATAATAATTATATGTTGAAGTTAAAGTTAATTAAAGCTTGGGAGTTGAAGAATCAGAGGCTGTCCTGCGCGTTGCTGTGGGGTGCCTGTAAGAATGGCAGGTTCTCACCTGGATTCCTTCCTCGGCAGTTTCCACACATGCCTGTTTGAAGAGTTGCTGGGGAACCTTGATGGACTTGCCAGCTTTCAGAGCCTCCTCACTCCACTCGATCTTCAACCCTGAAGGGCACAGCAAGGGCATAGCAAGGTCACGGCAAGGTCATAGCAACGGCACAGCAAGGTCACAAGGTAATGGGAAGGTATAGGGGAGGGGAGGGTTAGTGTATAGTGACATACCGGTGCCGCTCCAGGCCATGGTGGGCACGTTTGCGCTCTGTGCGATGATGGGGGAGGGTTAGTGTGAGTGTATAGGGGATTAGGGTTAGTGGGAGTGTACAGTAAGGGTTACGTACCACTGCCACTCCAGGCCATGGTGGGCACGTTTGCGCTCTGTGCGATGATGGTGGAGGCGATCTTGTCCCCGAGCGCCCACATGGCCGACTCCCCCGGCCCGATGAAGCTGATGTTGTTGTTGTGCAGGAGTTCCGGCAGCTTCGGGTTCTCGGAGGCATGGCCCCAGCCGGCCCACACAGCCTGTAACATACAACGGTAACTACGCTGTAACTATGGCAACAACACTGTAGCCATGGCAACAGGAGTTCCGGCAGCTTCGGGTTCTCGGAGGCGTGGCCCCAGCCTGCCCATACAGCCTGTAACAACATTAACCATCATGGTAACTACACTGTAACTATGGCCCACACCGCCTGCAACAACAGTAACCATGGTAACTACACTGTAACTATGGCAACAACACTGTAGCCATGGCAACAGGAGTTCCGGCAGCCTCGGGTTCTCCGAGGCGTGGCCCCAGCCGGCCCACACAGCCTGTAACAACAGTAACCATGGTAACTATGGCAACAACACTGTAACCATGGCAACAACACTCTGTTACCATGGCAACAACACTGTAACCATGGCAAGAAATCTGTAGCTCGAACCCTTCAGGTTCTGTGAGGTGTGCCCCCAGCCTGTCTACATCCTATTCCATGTTCTATTCTGCAAACTCAAACTATCCCATTCCGGGAAAATATCCCATTCCGGGAAAATATCCCATTCCGGGAAAATATCCCATTCCGGGAAAATATCCTATTCTGGGAAAATATCCTATTCCGGGAAAATATGATCCTACTCCAGGAAAATATTCTATTCCGGGAACTAATTATTATTATATTGCCGACCTGCACGGGTATCCTCTTGGCGATGTCGAGGATGAGGTCGACGTTGGCGTAGTTGTTGTTGTTGGGTCCGCCCGGAACGGGGACGTACTGGTCTGCCATCTTTATGTACTCTGCAACACACATCACATCAATATACAGTCATGTACGTAGTACACAATCATGTAGCACTGGCACATACTGGTCAGCCATCTTTATGTACTCTGCAAGCAAGTTACAACATTACAGCAATTATAGTATACAATGTACATTGTTGTAGGACTATCCTGAAGTATATTCCTTACAATATTGAATAAACTTGCAGATTTGCACTCTTAGTACCTGAGATCAAACAAAGCAGAAAACACACCTGTGTCGGATGAAATAAAACAAGGCTTAAAACTGACCTGCGTTGGCCTTCAGATCCTCAGGAGTTACCATGGCAACAAAGCGAATGGCGCGCTCGTTGCGGAACATCTCGTAGGCCCAGCGCCGGATGGAGCGCATGCACTTCACCGCCGCAATGCCGTTATTCGCTATCAGAACCTAAAGTCAAGCAAATCAATCAACCCATCAATTAACCAACAGCCCAATGAATATGACAAAAGATAGTTGGTACATAAATTGACAATATAATATAGGATAGGATTGAAAAATGTGTTAGCTATAATTCCAACTGATGACGTAGTTACGTGTAGTCAGTATGAAACAGCTACAACTTCAAAGTTGTCATTGAATCTAGGCACTTCACGGCTGTTTTAAGAAACATTGACTGTCATGATTAAGACATCTTCACCTCGCTGATGACCTTGTTGC